AGTAAGGGCAAATTTATTCAAGCAACAAAGATACAAACATGAAACCCGTATTTAATTCGCAGATGGTATTATCATCAGAAAATGTTAATTTTTCTCAGCTGAAAGAGTATGCTCGTACCACGTTAATTTAATCCCACAGCTCTTCTCCTTGTTATGACACACGCACACACACACACAAAAAAAAAAAAAAAAAAAAAAAACACTTTATTTTGTCCTTTGTTCAATGTAACGAAAGGCCTATAGTCAGAATCATTTATAGAACATTTTGCGCAGTAATAAAGCTACGATTACTTCATCTGAGGATGCAGTCATCGCAAGTTTGATAGGCGATCATAAAACATAAAATTGATTGATATATGCAAGTCTTAAAGTCTGTAAAGAACTGGTACCGCACGATCGGCTTTTAGAAGAAGATTGGATTTGACATTTCAGGAAGCACGAATCAATGCACGCATTTAGATCAAACGTTTCTTGAAGTACCACAATAAGACAGTTGACTGAAAAGTTAAAAGATTGTCTCTATTTCTCTTTGCCGTATAAATCGATATTTTGTCGCGAATGTTGGCGTTTGGCAAATTATGGCAAAGCACTCGACAGCTATCTTCCTAAAGGGATGGATGCCTTCGTGAAGACCTTTTTAAGGGAAATTGGCTGGTATATACGTTACACATGGGCAAAACAAAGAAAACGCTCATGCAGCCAGCCCGTTCGACGCGATTCGAACCCCGGACAGAACTTCCAGGGACTGAACAGCAGTGTTCATCGTCTTTACCGCTCCGCCACTGGTGGACACTGTTCAGGTGGAGGACTACGTTATTCAAAATTTGATGGCTCTAGATACCGTCATTTTTTCACAGTTCGAGAACATAAATACATGCATGCACGCAGATTCTTCATTACTTAAATTCTTTAAAAATAATACAGGGTGATAATATTTGGCGGCAACAAACTGTAAAATGATACACTGTTTACTAGTGAACTTTATACTAAAATCCCATTTCTAGATTAATAGCCCCTTTTGGACTTAAAAAAAGGAGGGAGATAATCAGAAAAATTGAAAGGTATTATCGAAAAAGCCCATTACCGTTTGAATAAAATTAAGATAATAAATATAAGATCATTACGATTACAATACATGTACGTTAATACAGAATTCTTAGATCTCCTTTAACAACTTTTCTGCGTGGATTTATAAGGTATTTCTCCCACCGTCTTTGCGTGCCTTTATGGTGTAATGGCCAGCACACTCATCGCGTATTCGAGAAGTCCGAGGTTAAGTCCCGGGAGGGCATTGCTCATTTTTCACGTCTCCAGCTTCGAAATAACCTAATGTCTCTACAGAGTCACCAAGATCCTACAGCTATGTGCACTTACATCGCCTTCAACTATAACGAATCACAACACGTAAAATATAACCGTAAAATGAAAACGACGTGACTAACTCAGTCTGCAAACGATTCCAGATAGAGTAAGTAATACTGAATGCTTTGAGACCCTTAACTAGAGAATTGCACTAGCAAGATCCTTACATAATGAAGACAATGTAAGGATCTTGCTAGTGCAATTAATTTGTTTCTATGCAATAAATAATTATTGTCAATTGCCGTTATTATATTGTTAATAGAGCTTCTCGTAGATTTGTAATAAATGTCTTTTTAGTTCAATATGCAGAGCAAGCAATGTAACCAAAACGCAAATCAAGTCAGCTACCGATCGCTGTATGAAATCGATCTAATAGCGTACAATCCCCCTTATAAATAAAAACGTCTTTATTTGGGAACCTTTGATGTGTAATGTTTCTTTATTAAAAGAACTGCGTTTTACAGCTTGGGGTTCAAAGGTAGATAGTTTAGTAGCAGAAAATTCCGTGAATTTTCGTATCAATCCATCAAATCATTACATTTGAATTCGAAATAATATGTTTGCGCTCTGATAGCATTACATATATACAAAGAAAGTATTGTATATATGCTTCTTTGTAAGATTCTTAAAACAAACAAATAAAACAGGTGTAAAAATCTACTAGAGAAATTATCACAGTTCTCGCACATACTTATTTGCATCTGCTATATTTATTCAACTACAATAATAAAATAGAAAGGAATTTAAATTAATTAGACTAATTACAACCGACTTAAAACAGGTGTAAAAATCTACTAGAGAAATAATCACAGTTCTCGCATATACTTATTTGCATCTCATATATTTACTTAACTACAATAATAAAATAGAAAGGAATTTTAATTAATTAGACTAATTACAACCGACTTAAAACGTTATTTAAAATTTTCATGTTTATTTCGCAATTTGTTTATTGTTATTTTACATCCAGAAATGTCAAAATAAAGTCATTTATTTTAAACACACAGAAAATCTGCATCACAAGTGTTTTATTACGCATTTCTATAAAACCAGGTCATCTAAAAGTCGTTTTTGCATATAATTTATACTGAAATATCTTATAAGATTAAGTCACACTGCTAGACATAACATGTTGAGAAACACCTAATCGCGTTATCAGATAATGCAATCGATTAGATTTGTAGGCAGAAAGTCAATTTCTTTATGCAAGAAGTCTCCATGCGGATTAAGATAAGATGATAAAAAATGCATATACAAGGATATAAGTGTCAAATAATGATTAAAAGCAAACAATAAATTTGCATTGCAGCTGAAGGAATTAAAAAGCATTCATAAAGAAAGTTAATGCTTTAAGAAACCTGAACATTTCATGTAGAGAAAAGTTACTGGTAAAATACTTAAAGAAAACGGTGATGATTGGAGTGATCTCCGAAAAAGTAGTCATTTTCAAATCGTTTTATATAAATGTTTTTCTGATGTTAGCTATTTAAAAGTAAAATACATATCTGACAACGTAAACAAGAGATTACAGAATATTTGCACACAAATATTGCATCATAACTCTCCTGGAGATGAACTTATGGGGACCAGACGTCCTGGATTATAAGAAAAAGGCACGTATTTAAATAGAGCGTTTCCGGATTTTCCTCGAAATATTTAGAGTTCCATTTTCTGTAAATATTCTCGGGTTTTGTAAATATAGTTGACATGATAAATATAGTTCCACTACACACGTTCTTGAAAGTATTTTTGTGGAATTATAAATATATTCAATAATCAAATAATCATATTTTCGAGAACTCGGAAGGTCCACCAAGACTGGCTTTTAAAATTTCTGGATTCATAGTCTAGTTGCGCTTCGTATTTGGAAATTCTATACTGAAATTAAATTATTTAAAAGATTTTTAAACGGATCGCCTTTTGAGAACATTTTAGAACGTAAACAAGTTATGAAAGCTTAATTTTTTGAAAGAAATGTTTTTAACAAAGAAAAATTATAAGAAATTATCAAATGAAATATTACATTTAGAACCCCGAAAAACTAAAAACCTGACCAAGTATAAAATTGAAACTGAGTAAGATTTCTTCCATAATTAAAGCATCATGTTTCTTTCAAATCTGTAGTATTAATAAGATGATCTCTATTAACAGACACTCCTTAAACAGCTAGTTCCTGAATCCCTAGACCACTGAAATGGGGAAATAATATACTCCCAGTTTACACATTCCCTGATAACAGATGAAAACCTTAGTCTTGTGAATGTCAGCTAACGGGAGATTCGACTGCAAATAAATTTCGCTAATTAAGCACCCTTTAGCATTAATGGTTGACGCGTCTAATACGGCCATGGGTGCGGTTTTGCAGCAACTGGTAAACGGAGCATGGAAGCCCCTGGCTTTCTTCTCGAAAAACTTTTCTGCAGCGCAATCAAAATACAGCACGTACGACCGCGAACTTCTTAGTGCGTATGAGGCTGTTAAACATTTTCGTCATATGGTAGAAGGTCGTGTGTTTTCTATCTATACCGACCACAAGCCGCTAATTTTCGCTTTTCGACAAAAGCCTGACAAGGCTTCTCCCAGGCAAATGCGTCATCTTGATTACATAGCGCAGTTTACAACCGATTTTAGGCATGTAGAAGGCCCTCAAAATACAGTTGCTGATGCTCTGTCCAGAATTGAAGAGTTGCCATGAACAACAGATTTCTCCACCATTGCTGAATGCCAGAAACAGGACCCAGAATTGCAACGTCTTTTGTCTGACAAGTCTTCTCATGGACTTAATTTAGTATCTATGCAGTTAGAACCAGATCTTTCACTGTACTGCGATGTGCAAGGTAATGTGGTGCGGCCATACATTCCATCATAATTTATCCCATCTTGGCATCCGTGCTTCTCGCACGTTAATTCAACAGCGTTTTGTATGGCCTGGTATGCAGAAGGACATCGCTGCATGGGCGAGGTCATGTACAGACTGTCAAAAATCAAAAATTCACAGGCACACTCGAACTCCATGTCAACGCTTTGAGTTACCATCTGCTCGCTTTAGCCACGTACATATCGATTTGGTTGGACCCTTACCCCCATCACCAGGTTATACATATCTTCTTACGTGTGTCGACAGATACACACGTTGGCCAGAGGCTATCCCTATTGTAGATATGTCAGCCGACACTGTGGCAAAAACCTTTTTTTCTGTATGGATTTCACGGTTTGAATACCCGAGTACGTTACCACGGACCAAGGACGGCAGTTCGAATCTCAATTATTTACTGCATTAACAAAATTCTTGGGAACTAAAAAGATCCGTACATCACCGTACCACCCGAATTCCAATGGTGTTGGTGTTGGTGTATTTAATTATGGCAAAGCACACTAGGGCTATCTGCCTAAGGGGAGGGATGCCTTCGTGGAGGACTTTCTAAGGGAAACTGGCTCGTATACACGTTACACATGGGGAAAACCACGAAAACGCCCATGCAGCAAGCCCGAATTCCAATGGACTTGAGAGGTTCCATCGCTCTCTTAAACAGGGCATTAAATGCCATACTGCTATTCACTGGGTTGATGTCCTTCCTACTGTGTTGTTAGGACGCAGAACGGCTATCAAAGAGGACCTGAGTTCTTCAAGTGCTGAAATGGTTTATGGTACCAATTTACGTTTACCGGGAGATTTTATAAATCCTGCAAAAAACTCACCCAATGTCCAGCCCCATGCATTCCTCAAGCAATTGCGTGAAACCATGGTTGCATTATACCCTAAGCCCACAAGCATACATTCTTCAAGACCTGTGTTTGTTCCTAAAGAACTCGCTACATCCTCACATGTGTTCTTACGGTGTGATGCATCAAAAAAGTCCTTGGAGCCTACCTATACAGGCCCATACCTAGTTCTAAGTCGCACATCCAAGAACTATCGGATACTAATCGGCGACAAAGAGACAGTGGTGAGCCTTGATCGTCTCAAACCAGCCTTTATCTTAGCACCACAAACTGTCGAGACTGGTACATCAGTTCCACCTCCTTCGAAGGCACCTTCATCTATTGGGTCTACACCAACATCTGCTACTACGTCAGTTCCTGTGCCTGGATCCCAGAAAACAAGTGCTCCTCAGTATACACGTTCCGGACGTAGAGTCCGATTTAACTCTCGGTACCTTTAATTCGTTGCCACTGGAGGGGGAGTAGTGTGGCGACTCTGTAAACATGTGTTGTACTCGTCAACCGCGCGCCGTTATCCCTAACTGTAAGGTGATTTCGGCGACACACAGTCACGTCTCGTTGTCGGTGCGGTTGGTCGCTCGCTTTCCTCCAACGTGATTGTCTGTCGACTGTAGTAATTAAGTTTTAATATTGTGATGTGATTAAATGTTTTTGCTATCAAAAAATTGGCTCTTATGGCATGTTATGAATTCATCCTTAAAAGCACTGGCAAATTCCAGTACGCATAGTTTGTTGTTGCACACATCCGCAATCACGTGCAACAATATTCTACGTCACTATATCAAAATCTTTATAACAGAATCACAGAATAAAGCCAAAACTGTTTTGTCCCGTATACTGGCTTCGGAAAAATCTATCGCTTTACCTAAATATATTCACTGATAGATTATGTCAGCTAAAATGTACATTGCAATAAAAATTTATAAAATTTCTTTGAGAGTGCGGGAGAATAAACTATTAAAAATGGAAGCACCTAAGATATTACAAAAATTAAAACTGCAACACATTCCGAATGATTTTTTGCCGTTCTGTGAGAAATGATGTTTTCTGCCACCCAAAATGGAGAAGAAAAATCTGTTCTGCAGTCATTTACGCGCTAAATGTGTAAGGAGGCAAAGGAGAATACTTTTTTCTTCCCCCCCCCCAAGAACTTCGATAATTTTGTCAGCGGTGTCTTCTTCACTGATTTTACCTGATCAAGTACCATTTGAAGAAATAAGTGATGATTTTTCAGCTCGAGCTGTCTAACTTTTCCGAGATTGCGAAAGTCAACGATTCCTGGGTTTATTACCATCTTCGCAAATAACACGAAATTATCCATACCTACAAAACTCAAACTGAGTTAATTGTTCATTTCCCTAAGCTTTGCACAACTTTTCAAATATTTCCGTTGCTGTTCTTCAAGGTTTACAGCAAAGTTTTACTGGGTTCTTTGAATGAAATTGACTCACAATTCCCTCTTTCATCTGCTGTTCTTATTTTACTTTTATACCCATAAACAAATAAAAGACTCCCCAGATTTCAACGTTAAGAAAATTATAAGCTTTAAAAAAAGCACAGAATTAGAAACTAGTATTAGGATTATGATTTTATCGTCGGTAACTGCCGCGAATTTTGGCGCTTTTTCAGAGATTTCTAGAATATCAAATCAATCTGCGAAATTCATACATTTTTCTGTCGATTTAATATTTTTATTGCAATTGTTAGAATATTTTCTTACAGTTCATCACAATTTACGCAAAAAAAATATAATGCGAATTAATTTTCCAAAACTAAACCTTAAACTTTGAAATTATGGAAATTATTCCTATTATCAAATCTTGATCTAGTTCTGTCTGTTTATAAATAAAAATCATTTTCTTAAGCAACATAAAGACCCCTTTCATTATCTGTCAGTTATGTCATTAAAAGGAACTTCATAGAGAAGAATAAAAGGCCATCACCTTCAAAATGAAACTAGCACTTGCACAAATCATAAGTAAGCATCCATTGGTCCATCACAAATTCACAAATATATCTGACTCTAATAATATAATCCATTGCAAAAATGGGAAACAATTGGTATTAATAAATTCATGTAGTTCAACTTGAAAAGTTATAACTGAAAAATTTCAACCTGTGTTTGGTATTGATTTTAACCAAAAAGGCTCAATGCATATCGAAAACAAAAAGGGTTATTCACAAAATTTCAGTACGCAGAATATTTTTTATCCTGAAGAAAACAAGCCATTTATTTTACCTCTCAGCATGTACTCAAACTCAACCTTTAGAATTCAATACAAAATGAATTGTTGCGTTTTACCAATCATTGGTTAAAATTATTTTAGAAAACTGATTTAATTTGCAAATAATAATAGATGAAAAAATATATTAAGGAGCTATATTTATTCCTTAGTATGTATGGAATACATAAACTAAAAATATATGCAAAAAGAGTAGTATATGGAATATACATTATAGCATATTTTCTATCCCAATTCGAAAAATATACTAAATATCCTTTAATTCGAAATGTATGCAAAAGAATGTATTTTTACAAATTTTAGATTTATTATTTTATCAAACTTCAGTATGGCTAGAATTTAATAAGCGATTATAATTGATATGTAAAAATAAAGTTCATAATTTTACAAAAATCTTTTCTTATAGCAAAACATACTTAATACCTACCAGATATACAAGTACTTATTAAATACTTTTAATATTGCTTAAGGAATAAAAAGGTCATCATTTTGCAAATTTTATTTAAATAAATTTTGAAGCAATTATTTTGATTCTCTAAAGGAAAATATATACAACTTCTAATTTGAAATATTTCTTATTTTTATATGTATTTTTACCCTTTTAATGTTAGGAAACCTTAGCTGAGAAAATCTTAAGCCGATGAAATATTGCTGTGTTTGAGCAGCCACACTAAAGTCACATTCATTTGTTATAGCTGGATGTGGACAGAATTTAATGTTAAAGACAAAATTTTATACAAACACAAATACACAGATTTTCAACAGAAAACAGTTATTATGGTATATCGCAACAACAAATGTTACTGTGCCATCCCATATGAAAGGCAACAATTCTAGTTTAAATCAAATTCAATATATGTATTATTGGCAATGTACAAAGTGAAAACTTGTAACAGGGAAACTGGCTTGTATACACGTTACACATGGGAAAAACCATGAAAATACCCATGAAGCCAGCCCTTTCGCGGGATTCGAACCCCGGACCGAACTACCAGTGTTCAACGACATTATTGCTCGGCCGCTGGTGGGCTTACTTAGAGAGGAAATGACAATAATGCCATTCCATTGAAAACCATAGACAGAATCACATCAGAGCTCTGCTTCAGCAATTCTCAATTTTTGAGTTAAATCGCTATTCTAGACAGACTACACAAACCACCTTAATAAGATGAGTTCCGACACTTCTTATTATGAAACTAAATTATAGTTTCAGCAGAAATTTCTTTTTGATCTAGTAACATTATTTTAGTAACACGTAAAGCCTGAAAATTGAAACTAATACCTGTCTTTTCCTGGGAAGAACTTTAAACATTTAAAGCAAGCAAGGTCCACTCACAAGTCCTAATCTTAATCCTCCGAGGAAAATGCATTAAATTTACACAGCATATCTGGAAACTTTTCATTCCCAAAAATAGTATGGTGATCACTTGGTCACAGTGGTTTCCATTGATTCAATATTGACTGTTTCAGTTACCTAGAATTTACATCAGGACAAGGAAAGGGAATCATTGTTAACATTCCTAGGTGCTCTGCAAATTATATGGGTTTAATACAGTGAAATGCAGTCAAAAGTCGTTAATTCGGACACCCATAATCCGGAATGATCTATAATCCGGACCTCAAAGCTACAAACTTTCTGCGCATGCGTCTCATTGACGCATGCGCGTAAGATGCATGCGCGTCGCGTTGACGCATGCGCGTATTACGGCTGCGAATATGCGTGTGCGCAAAATACGTTTACGAATGCGCATTTAATGTATAATGGACAGTATAAGTTAAGCTAAAATTATCTAATTCAGTTAACGTTGCAGATTGCGTTGTTCCTTAATCTTCGAATTGGATCTGGCTTATTATTTTTTGCAGACTGTTAGAGCAATTTTATAAAAGTAAGCTTGAATTTTCGATTATGTCAAATAGAATTTCTGATATATATTTACTAATATGTAAAGGATCTACAAAGCGAAAGTATGTTTCGAAGTCCATTAAACAAAAAGTGGAATTGCTGCAAAAAAATGGATAAATGCATATCCTATGTTTAGCTAACCATTCCGAAATCTGTTTATCAATTTCACGCTACTATGCGGTGGGGGGGGGGGCACCGCGGCACGCAATGGATTGGAAGTTGATCTGTCAGCACTATAATTATCTTCAGAGCAGATGTTTTTATTTTATTTGGCTTATAATTCCTTACTAAATGTAGTATTTCATCTCGATGTACTCCGTCTTTGATATGATTTAAATCAAATTCCTCGTCATTATAATTCGCTTCCGATAGCGAAAAAAGTGATGCAGAGGTTATTGAAAAGGAAAAAATTTCGATTGACAAATTAGTCGGTATTCTCGACACAGCAATTATAGGACTTGAATAGCGGAACTTTGTAATTGAACAAGAAATTATGTCTGTTTATAAAGAGAAAGTATCATCACATAAAAAACGAAGCAACTTAAACAACTTACATTGAAAGAAATGTTTAATAAAGTAAACAAATAAATATTAAGCTTTTTTTTTTTTTTTTCTAAATTTTGATACCCTTTAGATTATAATAGTTCTTTATTTCATAAATTATGGTTTCATATTTTTAATTTTATAATTTCTGCATGCTATCTTACTAGATTTAAACTGATGATCTATAATCCGGAATCGCCGAAGTCCCGACGAGTCCGGATTAACCAATTTTGACTGTAGTTAAGATAAATAGCTCAAACATGCTTAACACTAGTGACCTCCCAAGGGAAAGAGCACCTGTAGACCTTATGGAACCATTTGACCAAATATTGGAGGATGAAAACAGTCACTTACACAAATTCTTACATTTATTCTCAGCTACAGATCAACCTTCAAATTCAGGTACATATTTTTCCTTTATGACATTTTCTGCTTTACAGCTATAATTATACTGGCAGGGTATCATGATTACACAATATTTGAAATTTTTCTCTTTGTTTTCATACCTAATTTCGGCATTAAAATTTTCTTCCATATTCCCATACTATTTCTAGCATTCTCTCTTTTCTCATTAATGATGCTTTAACCATTTTATCTTAATTCACTGGTTTGCTGGAAAAAGAATTTTGCTTCCAGTACAAACTACTGCTTCCTGCTTTGAACTAACATATTTTAATATTCATTTAGACTCTAAGTGAAATTGCAATTCCAGCCAGAGTATCAAATAAGAACAGATTCAGTATTTTATTTT